GTTGCTGTGACGGCACTAAAATAATGTAATAACAACGTAATTGCACATTTGTATTGTATCATTCGATGTAGAAAGGTAATATCAAAGGGATGAAGAATCTCTCGGAAGAATTACTTTCGTAGGTGTTAGCAGGAGAACAAGAAGTAGAACAAGGTGACAGGGGGATGAGCGTTCCCGGTAGAATGTAGCTGTCAAAGGAGATTTTGATGCATAAGAGATCATGAAATTTTAAATTGACGCAAAAATATATTGTGACTCGCGAGAGTTCTAAATTTTTGTTAAAAACCGAAAGCGAGGCTCGAACCTTAGATTGTATGTGGTATCGTCATCCATGGGATTGACAGGTGAATAATAGGGCGTAGTCATAGCCCATGGTTTCTCAATTTGATCCGCTGGCTCCACAGGTTGATAACTCAGTCGCATCGTCGTCTCAGATTCCATTGGAACATCAGACGATTGATACTTGGATATGGGCGCGTACGATTTAATGGGCAGTAGGCATTCGCGATCGTTCGGTATATACGATAATTTATGAGTCGTACAGGCTGCAATGATCATATATTAGAACTTGCAAACTTAATAAAGGGAAATGTAATCAGGGGGAACGTCTAAGATTTCTTTTAGAAACATCGCTTTTTCGAAACAATGTTTTCTTTAATACGATTGTAGAAGGTCAAAGACACGGATTACGGCAATATTTTATATTTTATGTATAACTGAATACTTACATTCCAACGGTAAAGATGAAAAAGTAAGATTGTTTTCAGGTCGAATCTCCGCCGGTCGTATCGCTTGTTTCCAACTATAATCGTGCTTCTGTGTAGTTTCGTCTTGCATCGGGCCTCTACCTAACAATTGTCTTTCACAGGGTACGATAGGTGATTCCGGTTTGACGCACCAATTACCCAGGAAACTCAACTGCAAAAATTATGAAATTGGCAAAACTTTGAATTTAAAAAAATGAATATTTGAATTAAAAAAAAAAAAAATGTCTTCTGAAGTTAAAAAATGTGAGCGATTATTAATAGTGCGATTATTTTGTCTTAGACATTGCTCCGTAATGATGAAACAACGGGGCTGCTCGACGTCCTCAATCTTTACGGGAATAGTCATTGTTATCTCAACTCGTTACAATTACAGCGTTATGGCTCGATAGAAAGAGGACTATTGAATCAATCTGTGAAGCGACGCAACGATCGTTGGGCAATTTGAGAAAATTATCTCGTAACCGCCGCATAATGCATTCGAGAGTGTAACTATCGACCCGAATTAGTGTATCATCTTCGAATCGAATTCACCGCGAAGGTACGATTCCACGTTTACTCACTCGATTGACAGTGTCGTGGGAGAGCGGACATGGCGAGAAACTCATATTGTCAGAATGGCGAATGGGATCCGGCGGCTTGTCACCGTCAAATCCAAAATAGCTGAGGCGATACGTCGTGTTATCGTCGAAGCAGCAGCCGGCGTTCAATAAGTTTTCGGTCTTCTGAAAACTGAAAGATTCTCGAGGCTTTTCGCCACAATGAGGCCAGTAACTCAGGTTATAAGTCGTGCATCCGTTCATCGGTGTCATTGGACGATGATATTCTTCTTTTCGACTCCATGGTATTTCCTCCTAAGAAAATGTTTAGTTTTATTATATATATATATACCTAACATTTATATATAATTTTTAAAAAGAGAATCCTTTTTTGTTTGAAGCTTTCATTGATTTGCAGCCATTTTAAATTGTAAGACACATGATGAAGACGCAAATTCTTACATTCTTAAGATACATTAAAATAAAGTATTCAAAAAATTGTTGATAATAATTATTTAGATAAAATATAAAATTATTTAAAATCATTCATAAATTATAATAAGAAACTCAAGAAATTGATTAAAAACAAGATAGATTTTAGAAATGTTAGTCAAAATTTACTTTTACAAGAGGTTTGTTTGGCCAGTAGCTAAGCTTATACGTTGTACAATTTTCCATTGGTACATCCGATTTCAAGTATTGTCTAATAGGCGCATAAGACTGTATCGGAAGCAAGCAGGGAGAGTTATAGTAGCTCAAACGATATGTCGTATCATCTGTCCCCAATGTTTATTAATTAAATAATAATTTTTATCACGATTAGAATGTAAGATTTATCAAAATTAAGATTGCATAAATAAAATAAATATATTTCAAATAAATATTTCGATTCTAGTAAGTAAGAGAGGATTACCAGATAAAGCGGTACAGGGAGAACATAGATTATCTTGCGCCTTGATCATCTCAGAACGTTTTGCGCTTTTCCACAAATAATCGTGTTTGTGGGTCGTGACATCTTCCATCGGTCCTCTGCCTAACCACTGCCTATCGCAAGGTGTTATTGGTGGATCTGTTTTGATACACCAATTACCGAAATAGCTCATCTGGAAGAGCGATCAAACTCCAGTCAGCAAATCAGTTATAAGTGCAAAATGTGCGTTATACTTTGTGCGTTGTTTCATCAGACATCGGTGTGTCGCCGCATGTCAGATTATCCTCAGGGCGAATGGGTTCAGTCGTAGTAGCGGCATTTTCCCAATAGGAAAGACGATACGTCGTATCTTTATCCATGGAAACATTTGATTTCCAATAATACTAATGAAATTATAAAAATAATTTATCGACATAGTAAATGATCGACAAAGATATTTTTCGGATTAATTTTCCGCAAATATACATTAATTAGAAAATCATAGTAAATATCAAAATCATTCACCGAATCTTTGTTGAATTACTTACGCGAACAGGCGCAAAAGATTTGGGTACTTTCGGCTGGACATATTTCTATAAAAACCATTTAATCTCTCTATATATTTATTTAAATAAATAAGTATTAATGTTAGAACATGTCACTCACATAATATGTGGGATGTGATGTACAGCAACAGCAGTTGCAATACTTATCGTGGCCCAGCTAAAATATGTTACATTTCAAAACAGGCAAATAATATGAAAGCGAGAAATTAATGAAATGGCAAATAAAAATCTTTTCTTCATCTATATTATCAAAGCTCACCCGAATTTTCTTTTTTGCTTCAATAATTGACTGCTGGGGTGTTCGTTTAGGTCTGCAGTAATAAATCAGTATTTATTTTTTAAGAAGATACATACAAGATTTAAATACAAGAATTATGCTTAATGTGGAAAACCAAAATTCAACAAGTTATTGCGATGTCAGCTCACAGATCAGGAGGACAGATTTCCATGATTTTTCAATTTGTGCTATCGCCGATATCTCACTTTGAATATCACAGAAATACAGCCGAGAAATTTAATTACATATATTATTGTTAAGAGTTTTAATCATAATTTTTAAACTTCCTGAATAGTAACAAAAAAATGAAACGGCGGAATCACATGACGTTATTCATTATTATTTCGAGATACTAATGAAATTTCCAATTGATAAAAAACGGATAAATTCGTTTTATTAAATCTCGTTTTTGTATGTACATATAAATACTTATTTTATTTATATTGGATTAATTGGATTAAAATAATTTATTTAAATAATTAATTAAAATTTTTTAAAAAGTTTTTCTCAGTTCTCAAAATTATTAAGAAATATACAATAAAGTAAAAAAGTTTATTCTATTTATTAATTGAATGTATACAACTCTGCAAGCTCACTTGAATCATGTAAAAAATCAAATATAGACGGTACATACTTCATTAGTAAGAAATCAGCCGTTGATTTAATGTAATAAAAGCTACAAAATTCGTTAAAAAACGTTGAAATAAATGGCTGAACGAGAAAATAAATCGTAATATCCTGTAGTCTAATTTAATTTACGCCTGCACAATTATATAACATGTTACGTAATTGTACAGGCGTATGTAATTAAATAATATTAATAACATATTATGAGATTACGCTATTCGTCGAAGAGTCATACAGTTTAAATATCAGTACATATATTGATACATTACTCAAGAAGTATCCATTAAAATAACATAAGATTTTGAAAAAAACCGGTATAAACAATCAAACGGGTTTAAATTAACGTAAGACCAAATCGTTGCGCTATTTCCGGAGAATGAGTTGTTGCGACTGCAAGTAGAAGTGGTATATCGGCTGCATCGAGATCAAGAGCATTTGTTAAATTGTTCACATTAACATCAGATTCTTCCACAGACATCATCATTTCCGCCAATGCTTCGCTTCTTAACCATAATTCTCTTAGTTTAGCCTCTAAAATCGCTATGCACTGAAACGTTAGTTTAATTCAAGACATTACTTATTTATAAGAAAAAAATTACTTAAATATATAGAGAAGTTTGGATTGAAATGGAAAATGGAAAGAAACTCACATGAGTAGGAGAATGATATTTTTTCCATACATAAGCGAAGGATTCCAGCATATTCGACACTAGACGTGACATTCCGACTGGCAATGGCGGACTTTGCCAGGGTGCATTATTCGACAAAATTCCAACGCTCCACGTGTCCAGGTCAGCTAGCACGCAAAGTGCCTCTGCAATCGGTTGATCGATCGTTGGAAATCGAGCGCTAACCATAACTTCCTCCCGCATATATGACCACCATTTTTCCTCTGACTCAATTTCAACGTCGTCCTTCGATAATTTCTTTTTTCTTCTCTTTTTTTTCTTAATTACGCCCTGTAGCACCAAACCCCAGGTATAACTTGTATCTAGGGTATTAGTCTCGTCATTCATCATTTTATTTCGCATGAGCGTTTTTGTAAAGCCCATGTCTCTGACTGTTCCAGTTTTCATCTGTGAAGTTTTCTTTGATCTGTAATAACAGAATTGCTAAATATTATTTTAATTTAAATTAGAAAATAACAAAAATAAAATAATAACAAAAAAAATCGCGAAATATAACGAACGTCTGCTTAAAATTTAAAAATTTTTCAATTAATTTATAATTAACTTAATTCCATGATTCTATCACAAAAAAGATTTAGATCAATATAAAGACTTTTTTCAATACATGTTATAACGTAACTTGACAATACACTAACTGTGGCATTGGCAATTCCACGACACTGTTAGCTTCCATCAGAGCTTCAAGGCTGTTAGACCGCGACAGTCTCATAGTTCTGCCACCTTCGGAACTTCCGCATGTGCGCAACACCTCGGTCGCGTTTGTCGGTGTTTCCAACACTTGCTTGCTATTGTCATAATCTTGTGAAGCATATCCCTGACCATTGCACTTTAAACAGAAACCTACAGACCTTGCACCCATACTGGACGCTCCCGGAGGTGGCTGTATGCTCTTTGACGATTCGGGAAAGTTTCGTTGAATGATCTTTCTTAATACGCCTTCCGGAAGTTGTGCAGATGTACTAGGCAGTCTCGTGAAGGTATAAGAGCACTGACAATTGTTACCGAGACGCGGTCTCAACGGCAACTTCGCGGGTTTGTCTTCACCACCAAGAGTGAAGAAGACCTGCGATTCTTTAAATTCGCCAACAAATCTACTGTCTGCATCTAACGGTAACTCGGGTCTATTGTAGAACATTTTTAACGGATCCACGTTATTGTTTAATTGACGACGCAGTTCAGCTTTTTCGGTCGCGAGACTTTCTTCGGTATCGTGCATATCCAACTTCTTTTTCTCGAAGTCTCGTAAAGGAAACTGTGGAAAACTTGGCAATTGACATTCTTTCGGCGTGACATCCTCTTGAGATCCAATCTCGCTAACAATTATCTTCACTTCACTCGACAAAAATTTTTCTCATTGTCTTTAATCGATCGATCCTCTTGCATTGGTTCGTATTTCTCGTTTTCGCGATTTTCATGCGATGGAAATTCTTTTGTGGGAAATTTGAGATCTACTGTTGCCTCGGTCGATTTCGTCATGAGCATGTCAAGGCCAGATTTCATAGTACTGCTACGCATCAGAGGACTGACTGATCGTGAGATTCTCGGCCGTTCCGCAGGATATCGCGCGGTGCATTGCGATGCGTTAACATCACCAGTTCCGGTTTCGGGCGATTGTGTCGGCTTGGGAGTTGGCAAAACACGCGAATCGCGTCTGCGAATCGAAGTATCTCGAGCCTTACATGACCTCCTGTTATTAAACAGATACGGTCGTTTGCTACGAGCCTGCTCCAACATACTCGTTGCCTTCTGCACATCTTCTTGCGATGTGCAACGGTATTCCTGACATTTCCGTATCATCCCACTGCGGATGAAATAAGACAAAAACGACAAGACAGAATTAATCAGATCACTTTTCCGAGGATCACCCGCAACTACCGTATGCGTCACTTTCACGGGATTGCCTAATGCGCCATACAGATCGCCAAGTTGTGCCCATAGCGGATTAGAAGAATACCAACTGCCTAACTTTTCGATCTGAAAATAAAAATAAATATCAGAAAGATATCATTAAATTCTCATAATGAATCAGTAACAATATAGATATTAACATAATTAAGCTGACAGTCCCAATTACGGGTCATGTACTAATTTTAGATCAGACTTTTATCAAATTGATGCATTACAAATATGATATATTAATAAAATTATAGATTATTTTTCATATATTAATATTTAAAAAAAAAGAGAAATGAAATAACTTTTTTAAATAATTCTCCGACATTACATAAAGTCTTCAATGAATTACATTAAATATACCACTATATCGTATAAGCTAAATAATATAAATTTAAATATTATTAATATAAAAATAATTTAATATCAAACAAATAAATATAACAAAATATATGACCTGTAATTAAAATATATAAATATTGAATATTTTTCCGTAATTCATAACTGATTTACTAAAAGTAAATAATTAAATAAAAATTATTTTAATTTTAAGTAACTCATATTTAGAACTTTGATTGATCAATATTAATCTTTTAAAATAATCTTTTTAATTAATTAATACTAATTTTTTTCTTATCAAAACTTATCAAAACTTTATAACTTATTCATTATTCGCCTATTTATTTGTCTATTTTATTAATTTTATTTATCTTGTATGTCTTTATACGTTAATGATAAATTTTAAAATAATTTTGTTAATTTTACTTTACTAATTAGAGACAATTCAATTTGATACATACAATTTCTGTATTTTAATTCCAAGATTCTTCTCAGTTCAGCTATGATTTTCTAAACTCACCATGTGACGATCACGCGGAGACAGCACGGTATACACCCATCCAAGATGATATGTTAACACGGCAGTTACCACAGTGCTTAGAAAACTGAAAGACGCTGAAATAAATATCGGGACGTTCACTCAATCCGTGATTTACGCTCCTACACTCACAAATTTGTCGACTTCGTATCGAGCTCGTCGAATAACTGACACATCTGTTGCAAATTGCGATGCAAGGTATTTGTTTGTTCAGTCATTGTCACGGAGTTAAGTAGAACATCATGCCACAGCAAAGGCGTACGGGTATTAACATCGACACTGACATCGAGAAGTATATGCAATAACGAAAAGACAAATCGAGACGTTGCTCTACACATTCTATCGGTTAACTGCATCCTCTTGCAGTTAGAATCGCTGATATTGCTGGTCTCAATGCAAAAATATCGTAGACGATCCAGCATCCCTTCTAACAAAGCCATGTGTTCTAAAAGCCGTGTCTTTATCTGGCTACAAATTAAAATAATTTTTATTTTTTCATAAACCTGTTTTAAAAAATTAAAAGGCACATACATTTTTATTTATTTATATTATTCATTAAGAAACTATAAATTTTATTTTCTTACAAAATAAAATTAATTTGATACCTAAATTCAAAATTATTTAATTTTTAAGTATTTTTTTAATTCTATTTATGTACAGTTAGCTTTTACATAATTGCTAAGAAATTTGTTATATTCAAAATCATTATGGCAATACATTTTAAATTATATTTAAATATAAATTTGTTTTAATAAAAAATGTAACTCTGTACCTTTCGTGACCCTGAACTAATCGCACCAACATAGTCAAACCCAGCCTAGTTTTATGTCGCTTTGAATGTCCATCGCGCCCATCGTTTCCGTTTTCATTCCAATGTATCCCAAAGGCGTCGTCAGAATCCGAACGCCCAAGGGAAGTCGAGACTGCTCTCAACCATCTTCTACGCAAGCTGGTAAGACTACCAATTCCAGATGATCCGTTACTTTCCAATGATTGCGAGCCTAAATCAGCATCGCGTAAGCGACAATATATTCTTGCAATAAATCGCTGTCTTCGTGCGTTGGCATGAACTTACTGCCCGTCCGTGGAGCTATGTCTATATCCCAACCGCTACCAATACTCGAACACGTTGAATTCTTGCGCGGGCCGACGTGCGAATCATTACTCGATAGATTTCCGGAGCTCGGCCGTGATTCTGCAATGGAAAGCTAATCAGGATTTATTCTGGCATCTTCGATAATTTTTTCAAGCATTTGTTCAAACATTTTATACCTGTTATATTTTATTTGATAAAGCAATGCAAAAGAACTATTTATTATTCACAAAATGTATCCTTGATACATTTCTCATCCTCAATTTCAAGACAATTTCCTTTCTTTTAAAAATTTGCTCAAAGCTTCAAAAATTTGAAACTGAATTTTATGAAAAAAATTATTTTATTTACAAATTTTACAAATTGGATATAAGAAATAGCTAAAGACCGCGCAATTCACTATCAGACATGGAGCGTCTTCTGCAATTTATTGACCAATACCCGTGTCTTACTTGCCTATTCAATCTGTATTGACCAAACTATTTTTTTATAATTAAAAAGCTAAGTTTTGAATAAAGTTCTGGAAGACGAAAAATTATCTCAGGATTCAAAAATATAAAAATATTTTAAAGAAAGTGGTTGTTTTAAATTATTTACGTATAAATATAATTATTTTTCTTTTAATAAAGTGTATTTAATCAAAGAATTCTTAGTACGCAATGTGTTTAAATTATTTACGTAATAATAACAATAGTATTGATATACTTACGAAATGATCGCATACTAGTATTGCTACATATCGAATCCACGTGCATAGACCGTCCTAATCCTTCATCCGAAACTTTTTCACTGCAATGTAAAAAAAACATCTAATGAATTATTCTTTGAAAAAAATAATTAAAAATAATACAGAAAGCAAAATGTTAACACTATGCCAGCAGACAGCTAGCAAATTCGATCAAAATTATATCAACAAACTGGTATCAATTGCGTCCGTATTCAGCTTAGGTTCTGCCGGTTTGCAGGACCTGCAAAACATATCCAGGCAGCAAAATGGCGGCAGAAATGACATATATGAAAATCCTGCTCGATTTCAACCATCAATCTGCCGTCATATTATGTCAGGCTCTGTTTGATTTCTGCCGCCAAGCTGTTGGCATAACATGTTAGCAGGCTTTGTCATATTTCTGACAGTAGTCTGACAGTCGACATCGTCAAATATTACAATTTGAAATTTGTTGCTTTTCTGTTCAGAATTCTGTTTCTGTTTCAGAAATTGATGGCATACTCTGCTCAAAATCTTTGCAGGCTTGACTATCGGGAAATTTACCTTATCTTACATGTGCCGTGTTCTGTCGCCGGAAAAATTTTCGTACACATTATGCACGGTGGAGAATTCATCAAGTGAACCTTGAAATTAAAATTAATATACTTCCATGTACTATACTTCAAAGAAATCTTTAAAAGCAATTACTTCAATATCGATCTACCTTAAATGATGATCCCCTATACGTCATTGCTACAGTACCAAATACCATTTCGCTCAGCAAGCTTACATCATCTTCAACAATCTTATCTCGCTGAAAATTTTAAACGCTATATTTCATAAGCGATATTTATAAACAGAAATATAAATAAAATTTATATTGGTTTATACCTGTGAATAAGATAATTTTGATAAAAGTTTTGTGTAATTAAAAATACATTATAATTTTAAATATAGGAACACATAATATGTCCATTTGATAATTATTAACATGTAAAATTCGATAATTACCTCGAAATCATTAGCAGTCCCTATGTTAAAGGGTGTCTCGCATTTTCTCTCCACATTCGAATCGAAGAGAAGTTTCCTACCGCGCCATTCACATTCTCGAAATAGTAAAATTCGTACTTGATCTGCTCCAATTTGCAATACGGAGTCCCTACAATAACTTTATAAAATGCGATTTTATTCGAAAACTTTGCATCTATGTTTAAAATAATAAATTTAACTTTTTTACTTTCTTTAGAAAAAAGAACTTATTGTATTTAATTATTTTTTAAAGTTTTTGCGTAAAAACTTAAAATAAAAATGAAAAAATATAACATAATCAAAACGCAAAAAATAAATACAAAAATAAAATATTTCCAGATGTTAATAAAATTAAATATTACGATATTTTTGAGATTGTTAAATACGAAAATAATGACGAACTGTAAAATATTCAAAATATCAGATTTTTAACATAGCGAATACGCAAAAAATAAAATATTTTCACATTCTAGTGAAAAGTAAAATTAAATTCTTTTCAGAATCGCAAAGAAATAAATTTAATTTATAAAACAAAGAATAAAAGATATATAATAAAACATTTATCAATTATATTGTATATGACATAATTTATTATATATATATATATATATATATATATAAACTTATTTCAATTATAATATTTATATTTATATATATATTTTTTTAAAGTTTTATATTTTTATTCTTATCTTATATATTAATATTTTAGGTAGCGTTTTTTATAAATATATATATTATTCGCATAATTAATTCGTGATTCCCTTCTTTCATGATTTTTTTTATAATATTATTAATATTAAATTATAATAAAAAAATAAAGATATATTAAATAATTATGACAAATCAATTGGTTGGCGTAAAAATTAAGTCTGTATAAAAAAGTCTGATAAAGCTTTCATAATATCTCCCTCGAATGGAGAGAACCCGAAGCGCGTCATCAGCGCGACGCGCGTTTGCTTCGACGTTGCGTTGGTAAAACAGCCGCGGATGCAAGAATAGAGTCAAGTAATCGCAATGAAGTAGGTTAGGAAAACAACGATAAAAGAGTCGATCTGTATAAAAATTCCGAGTTTTTGCGATAATGCAATGTCATCATAACTTTCATTCTCCCATTTAGACGTATACGTAAAGAGAAATGTATTTTCGCTCCGCTTTCTTTTCGAAGCGCGAAAATCTACCTTTCTCTCCGGCGTTAATATAGAATGACTGATAAAATGATTGAGAAAAGATTAACATAATGTGACGCAAGGAATAATGACGGCGGATGTGGCGCGAGTCCGCTCCGGAAGGATTCGACGAGTAACGGCGATATACCGAGCAAAAAGCGGATGAAAAAAATGGAGCGGCGCGATCTCTCTTGCTCACCTATCATTCCCAATTGTTCGCGCACCGGACACTAGGCTTTCGGCACTCTCGCACGGACTGCTCTTCTTGGGAGGTAGCAGTTTATCGAGCAACGGCATCATAAAGCCACGCCGTCTATAGTTATAGCATCGCCTTGCGGATCGGACTTGCATCTATCATGTCACGCGGGACTGCACCATACATGTTCGCGCGGAGTATAAGTCTCTTACTGTAAATAAAGTCACGTGCAGAGGAGTCATATGATTGCCTGAGATAATAGCATCGCTGGCGAATGGCATGGTCGAGGCCGTGTCTCTTGGACCCAGCCTGATGAAACTGGCTTCTCACCAAGCGGCTTTCAAATCAGTCCTATCATGTTCATGTCTTTTCCACTGAAACTTTTCTAATATTTGCTACGTGATACCTTTCTCTCCATGCATATATAGATTTCTTTTTTAAAACGCATGTCATAAATCTTATGGGACTACCGACGGCTCTTGCTGGAGATCATCAGTAGATCTCGCAAGATGGAGACACCCGTTATATCATGTAAAAGTGAGCGGTCTCTTTGAAGTCGCGACAGGCGAGTCTGCTGATATCAGTACGCTTGCATCGCATATTTAAGGGTCAATGTATATCAGCATCAGGAGAATATGCTGATGCTGATTTGGTCTATGTCAGAAGAGGAGATTTAAATAATCTCGATCGTCTCAGCGATATCCTTATAAATAATTTTATCAATTAAAGCTCGACTTTTTCGCTGCAGCTATATTGATTTATGATATCATAGGCCGGTATTCATAGTTAGTTTTTATATTTAAAATCGCCTTAAATAAGCTCCTACAACTATCCTATTGGTTGAAATATTATCCTAAGACGATCTTAAATATAAAAATTGACTATGAATATCGGCCATAGACAAGAAATGACATGTAATAATTTCTTCGCGACAAATAGTTCTATTTTTTAGTTTTTCTTTTTAAATCCCTTACTGAAATATTTATCTGACCTATCACGTAGAAATAAAAGAATCCCTAAAATATAAAATATAAAAGGTAAAATAATTTCTAAAATAACGGATTCTTACTGCACGTCATTTCTCTACTGACGTCTATGATGTCATAAAACAAAATTGGCTGCTCGAGAGAGCCGAGTCTTAAATTATTTTATTTTTTTAATAAAATAGACATCCAATTTTTGAAAAAAATAACACACAAACTATTCGATCTAATATAAATTATTATACATAAACACATAAAATAGCTATTACTTTTTTGAATCATATACTTTGTAAATATCACTTATATTTGAATTTAAATTATAGTAACTTGTAGTAATTTGAATACGCATATGAATTGTATATGCATATCTCAAGCATACTTTAATTATTAGTTCAATTATTCATCACATAAATAATCAGTTCATCAATAAAATAATCAGTTACATACAAAAGCGATTTTTCGAACTACTTTCATTCTTACATAATTTTCTACAGATGTCAAGAAATTATGTGTATCAAATGTATATCTCGTAAATATAATAAAGCAGATATTTTCAAAATTACATTTCACATATAAATTTTAATCGATCCGTTTTATCATTCACATGTCACAACGAAGTGGAATTTTGTTGTCGATATTTCTACGCATCTTATTGACCAATATGAGATGATGAATGTACTCGGTATTCTCGGTATTTGTATGAAATGCTTCGAAAGCTTTTTTAATATAATTTTTATTGGACGACGGTAAATAAGTCGGAAATTCGATATTAAATCTCAATATTAAATTTCCTTTTTGCTTCGGATTTGTGGGAAAAGGCATACCCTCACCTGGCACACATTTGATGTAATTTGGTCTGTAAAACGTAAAACATCAATAATAATTTACAAACATAACATTTGTAAATTATTTAATTTTAGTTTTCCAGAAAAGACAAAAATTAATGAATAATATTAAAAATAAAGAGAGAGAGAGAGAGAGAGATCAAAGAAACATAATATTTTTTATAGCTTTTCATACGTAATGATTGACGTTATTGGAATTCGAAGAGTTCTATCATCGACAGTCTTAAGCGTGATTACTGTTCCAATCAATGCCTCTCTCAGAAAGATATTGACTGTTGTGTGCAAATCTGAACCTTCTCGACGAAATATTTCGTGAGGCCGATCTTCTGTGACGAAGATAACATCCGCTACGCTGACGATGTTTTGAACTTATAATTAGTGAAGATATTATTTTGCCTTATTACAAATAATTTTTAATCTTTCAACTAATCTCTCAACGGAACACACATTCTTATATGACAATGATCGTAAATTGATCATCTTACCTTTGATTGTGCGTGAATCTATCTTTCTTCTACTTAATATTATTATTTTTTTATTATGTTATCATTTTGAGAAAATGTTGTACATAGAAAATATGATTAATTTTTTTGTCCATTACAAAAGAATAAAATTTATATCTATAGTATAAGAGTGCTTTTAATTTAAATTTTAACAAATATTTTAATTTCTTAAAATATACATAGAAGACTTACAATTATCAACTTTTAAAGGTTGCATAATCATAAATAATAATTGTGCACTATATATTTAATTAAAAGAAGATATTAAAATAAAAATTTAATTTTTTTACTTTACATTAAACACTGATTGATTTGTTATTCTTTGATAAAAAATTATTTATTTTTAATGTAAAAGTAAAATTTGAAATTGCAAAAGAGAGCCATAAAGAAAGTGTTTATCTGTTGTATTGTTGCAATTTTATAGTAATATATATACTCAAGCGATCATAGTTATGATCGTAAGCGAAGCTCAAGGAAAATCAAGAAGACCATGGAAGGACTTACAGGGTATCTTCATAGGACTTTGATCACCCTCTTCTGGAAATATTATTTTGGTACCTGCTGGGATACCCGGCTTAATAGGTATCGTCAAGATCTTTTCCATCGACGATGTCGTCGATTTATCGTCACCGACTAAAACCAACTTCTGGATTTTCATTTTCTTTATCCCACCGAAAAATACCTAGGACAAAATACTTCCCGCTGCTCGAGATGCTATTTCACTTATCTTTTTTTATAATGTTTTTTTATATTAAAATATATATTTCAAATCTATGTTTAATTTAATTTTGTAAAAATTATTTTATAAAATATCTTAAAATTGAGATTTAATGATGTTAGTGATATAATAATACAGATAAAAAAACACTCTATGTAAATAATTTGAAATTTTTAAACAATTCTTTTTAAATAAAAAATACAGAAGAAAATAGAAAAGCAAATAAGATGTATTCATGACTTAAATTTAAAGCTTGAATAAGAAAAAAGAATACTTTGTAAATGTAAGTCTATTCTCACTTCCGAAAGTGTTAAAAATAGGGTTTTAATCAAGGGTTCCTCCTTTTCTTTTATACCTCGACCCTTGGAAAATTCAAGTAGAGGTTGAGGCTCTATTAAAATTTTTAGCAGATCATCATATGGGTTTTCAGTCGTAAAGAATTCCCTGATAAAAAAATTCGCAATAAATATTAATTATAAAAGTATTATAAGTCTCTTTAAAGGCTTATAATTTAATTTTAGATGCACAACTGTTAAATATATAAACAATAAAAATATCGAAAAATTTCGAAAAATTATATAGCAATCTCTTTTTTTTTCGAAAAAAAATGTTTAGATATACATTTATCACAAAATTAATATTAAAATCGAAATACATGTATAAATTCACGATTTATTTAAAAAGCTCAGAGCTCAATGGCTCTTGGATCCACCTAAAGGTTCGCATCGGCTCGCCGTGATAGACGTAAGGTTTCACGAATCCTTCTGGTCTCGGCACACCATTTTTAAGACCCTCTTCACCGTATTGATCATACACGGCCTTTTTAAGAGGATCCGAGAGTACGTCGTACGCTTCAGCTGCTAAGGCGAAAATCACCTCGATACCTCCATTCTTTTGCTGTGCAGGATTGTATCGTAAGGCGCATTGTCGGTATCTGGAAAAAAATAACCGCGCCATTTCATCGGTGCGATACATCTCTTCTTTCTTTACCATCACGTTTTTTACATAAAGCGTATGGCTCATATCGCCAAATGGAAAGAAAACTTTTATAAATATTCGGTTTAATGTTACTAGAGAAAGATAATGAAATTTTATGAAAAGATAATCAATATATATGAATTATTAATGAATAAACTGATAAAGAAGTGCAATATGATGGTGCATTATTAAAAGTTAGCAAAGAAAATTCTTATTTTTGCATATTTTAAAATACAAAATTACGCTTACGCTTCCATAATTTCTACATTGTTACAATTTCTTTTCAACGATAATACTTTATAATAATCTACGCCGCGTTGAGTGCACGCGCATTTCTCGTGTGGCGCATTTATATTCAAATTACTCTTCGAAACTTGAGAAACCATCTTGAAATACGGTGATGCAAAGAAAAATACATCTTCTTATGATATTTATCCGTAACGATGTTTGATACATCGTTACGTGTTTGAAAGATCCGAAGATCACGTAGAAAAAAAACAGAAGGCAGTTGCCGTGTCTCTGTCTTTTTTTAACAAGGAGAAATGATGGTAGTTAGACAATTGAAAACATACATTATACATACATACGTACACACATATATAAGAATTAAAAAGAGAAAAAGACATGGCAATTGTTTCTTCCTTTTCACCTGATTTTTTTTCTATTGAGACATTTATTACGCTTACGTCACAACCAAGGTGAAGTTGAAGTGTGTCTATATTCGCTCGATCCACATTTTTGCCATTATCATGAAGAGCTCAAGTGAGTGAGTTTTTAAACACACGTAAATCGGTGCGACGCACATAATCGACGATCACTCTTCCGACGGCGATTTTAATCGACGAATTTTTATTATTATGGAGACTCTTGAAAATGTCTCGAATTTCGTCATAAAAGGTAAGCATATAAAATTATGTGAGGCCCCTAAACGTTTCATGACGCGACAATTGCTCGGAATGCATAGTTAAATGCGTATTGAATAAATCGTGCGATATCGCGCGAGATTTTCTAAAACTGTTAAAATATATAAATACTAGTAGAAATGCTATAAAATTTTCTATTCTAGAGTCAAGAAAAAGAAATTTAAAAGATATTTCTTATCTAGAAATGAGGAAATCAAATAGCTATTAATAATGGAGAATAACAATGAGTGTTGATAATAATATATATCTATAAAAAAAAACTTATATTAAGACTTAATAGAATACCATATTTTTTTAAGAAAAATAATTTCTAATATATTTTTGCACATATTTTTAGATGAACCAAATAATATTTGCAAAGAAGAAAAATATATTGACGACAGCATCGACGACAACATTGAAAAAGTCATCGTTGTGATGTCATCGACGGAGACAAAACCACTTTCTTCCAGTAAACATTCAAACAATAAAAAGATCAATAATAACGTGAACAACGTTTCTTGACATTATCGTGTCTATTATTTCGTAGAAAAGAATTTCGATAATGACGACGACGATGACGACGACGATAAGGAGAACGTGGCGGTAAAGCGCATTCCCGATGAGCCGAAGGTATCGTGTGGCAACCGTGAGGTGAATAAGATTTTTCCACAGCAACAGCAGCGGACACGGACAAATCGATCGCCGAGACTCAAAAGCACCGGTACCCCGACGTTGTTATACATCGACGGCAACGGACTCGCGGATGCAGCAGCAGTGAAACGCAGAATCCCAAGACCGGCGAATGCCTTCATGCTGTTCGCCAACGAGTGGCGAAAAAAATTTGCCGCGGAGAATCCTCGGGAATCCAACAAGGACATCAGTGTCAGGCTAGTTTCCATACAAAAAGAACGTTTGTTTCTGCTGAACAAAAATTTCTTTTTCCGACAAAGAATTTTTTCCCGTGAAAGAAGTCCAAGGACCAAACAATTCTTTTGTAACTTTAAAAATTAAATTTTGAGAGAAAAATAATAAATAAAAAGCAAAACGGTTTTATAATTCGCGCATACGAAATGCAAAATATTGCATAATATAAATACTGCATTTTTTTCATGTTGTACGACTACCTTTTTGGGAAAACATATAAAACGTATAAAGAAAATTACAATGTGAAAATAAAAATGTTTTTTTTTTCTTCCCTATTATAGGCTAGGCATTTTCTGGAAAAGCATGTCAAAAGATGTAAAGGAAAAATACTTTGCACTGGCGCGTGAGGTGGACAGGGAGCATAAGAGAAAGTATCCTGGTATGTCTTGTAACAATAGTTTTCTTTAACGTAACCTCATTTATACCTGTCTATCTTATATCTGACAGATATCGTCAAAGTCTCCTGATTTATTTGAACGTTCATGACGCGCGCTATGCAGCTATCGCGCATGACAGATTATCGCATCCTTTCGAGGACAGGCCAATGTTAAGAATAATGCGAACGATAACAGAGAAATGAAATGCCGATAAAAATGCTCGGAAACGTGTCGCTGGGCTATCGAGAGACGTGTCGCTAAAACTGGAAAATCTTGTTACTTTTACGTCGCGTGCACGACATCCCAAAGTGTCGGTCCCATCGTCTATAAATAGCCGGGTTGGATTAGATAATATCGATCGCCGGCGATAAGTACGTCCGTATTATCAACCGACGAAAAGCGAGAAGGCCATCTCGTATCGGCGTTGATATGACGTCTCATCCCCATCAGATCGTCCTTGATCGCTTGGTTTCATCGATATTGTTTTCGACGTCATCCCCATCAGAAAGGAATACCGTTTACATATTATTACTTGTTGCGCTCCTAATTAATATAGCAAATTATTCAACATGCAAAGTAATCTTCGATTTCCCTTTTCGCTCACACTAACGCGACTGAGATGTTAAATCTTTATTAAAGTGCACGTTAACTGGGGAGGGGGGGGGGCGGCAAGAAATTGATGTCGCGAGTTCCTCGGACGCGATTCTAGGTCGCAGACGACGACGACGACGACGACGACGAGCGTGAACGATTCTCGCGAGGGCGGTAAAACGGATGAACGGCGGGAGGATGCGAGTTTTGCGGGTCGAGGTACAGGGTGGCAAGCGGAGAAAAATATTCTCGGGTGAGTGACGCGGGTGGGAACGGTGGAGAGAGAGACCGGAGGTATTGATTGCGACGCGACTCTAGGAACTTGCCCGATACACGACTGCTGGCTATCTACCCACTGCCTACGTACCGAAGCCGAGAGAATGAGCGAGGGAGCGATTATGCTTCGTTATATCTCGCGTTATTGTCGAATATTCGTGCACGAGAGGAAAACGGTTGCACGCCTGTCGCGAGCGCGTACAAGCGTTGTACATGTCGCTGAACCGAGTGCCGTTTGGCCCTTTGATTTTCGGTCAATTTCCCATGTTGTCCCTCGCCCTTTTCCGTCACTCACGTTTGCTCTTTCACCTTTTCTCGCATTACGAAAGTTGTAATAGATTTCATCGAGGCAGTGTGAAATTATATACTTGTCACACACATCATCATCGAATCTCATCATAAATTTTTTAATCAAACGGTTTATGCTCGAGAGAGATGGAAAACTTATAATATGTATAAAAAAATGTGTATTTTTTTTTTCTTATTTCTTATTTTCTTATTTTTTTCTTATTGCAAGATCTTATTTTTTGTTTTAATCGACAAAACAATTGGAATTGTCGAGAAAATAGTTTGAGTGACTAATTTTTTTTAATTGATTACAAAGTTACGTTTCATTTGAAAGAGTAAAGATAGTTAATCTCTTAGATTGATATGCATTATTTTTGTCTATATTTCTCACAATCAGTTCAGAATAGTTATTCGTTTCTTCGGGTAAAGTGCCGTTTTGCCAACGCGCGGTTAGCGAGTTGTTGGTTTCTGCAATTTCACTTTTTATACCACGCACTTCGCATATATCTGACGTTTTGTTATAATTAGCATATGTTTTCCTTTTTTACATAGTTAGAATTTCTCAGGAAAAAGTGCAAAAAGAATATTAAAAATAAATAAACACATTTTAATTCTCGTTCATAAAATATTAAATAATTATGTTACGTGAAATGAAAATTATCAAATCGATGTTTGTATTTTTATATGTATTATTATTTATTGAATGCATCGAATTGAATTAAAAAGAAATGTTTAGAAATATTTTTTTTGATAGCTTACATTTTGCATTTATTTTTCATTATTTTTATTACGTTTATCTTTAATAATGTCTCACGACAATGATTAAATTTTTCATTTTTTTTGTCCCCGCATTTTTTTCTGATTCACATTTCATCGTGTCTCAGCTACGAAACGTCGTTCAGTCATGACAAGCACCGGCGCAATTTTCCCGTCCTCGTTTTCAACCGTCCGCCGATAATGTAATCGATGCCAATTTCAGTCGGGGTGGGCGTTCCGAGTGGTCAATTAAGATCACTGGGAAGCGGTGGAGACCGCATCGATGCGCCCTGCGCCGTCGGGCATCGACGGCGCGTCGACCGAACTCACGTGCATCTGCGCGCGTGCAACGCGCGGCGATCGCGGCGGTGAGGGTGGCTGGCGGAGGGGGGATGAAAGGGGTAAGAGGGAGAGAGCGTGAGAGGGGAGAGTGGGGGAGGGACGCGCAGTAGGTCGCGTCGAGAGAAGCCGTCAAAATGTCGAGGCCCCTGCATCCAGGCGGCACGACGAGCCGATGGTACGAGCGGAGGAGGATGGTGTCGCGGTGTGCACCGGGCTGATCGCCGGTCATCGATCCACCGACGTGCCGATGCGAGAGAGGGATGAGAGGGAGAAAGAGAAAGAACCGGGCGCGCAGAGGGAGAGACGAAGAACTCGCTCGCCGATGCGACGGTTTCACGGTTCACGGTGCGCACGGATCATACGAACAGTAATGGGAGAATATTTAACGTCGGTCGGCGCGAGACCACGCGATTAAACCGGTCGCGGGGCGCAATGTCAAACGCGCGTCATCGCGTCTGCCGACGTGAGTAATAATTGCTCATGCGGACAAGGAGACACTCGTCGAATTAGGAAATTAGGATCGCTGAAATTGTGATCGTTTCGTCGCGCGCTTACGCGGAGCGACGCGATTAATTAGGGGGACAGGTGGTGCGTGTTCTCCAGCGACGAAACAGAACGTTGAATGCGTATCCGGAAGACGTATTTTGCTGAAGCACTTTGCTCGACTAATGCAATATAGTCGCCTCGGCAGAGACGGCCGGGTTAATCCCCTTCAATCGTTCGACGCTCTTCTCGAACCGATTCTCTATGCTCTTCGGTCGGAGAACATCATTCGTCGCTCCCTCAAATTCGACAACCGAGCAGAGAGAAAGAGGGAGAGGGTGAGAGAAAGAGAAGAGAAAGGGAAGAGAAAGAGAGACGAATTATTGACTCTCTTGAGGCGAACGCTGTACGCCGCATGCGGAACTGCGTCGATGCGAGAGGTTGCACGAGGGCTCTGGCTTGAAGCCGTTGAAGAAGGCAACGACAATAGAAGAGAAGAAGAGAATTTTGTCGGCGCCCTACGTCTCTCTTCCTCTACCTTCTCTACCCAGTGGCGGATTTAGAATTTGAAGAGCCCCAAGAGGACGATATTACACCGATCTCATAATTTAGAATTATAATCTTTTTACGTACTACTACTAGTCATATCAAAAGATTATAAATTATTCTTATTTATTAATTGAATATCACACACTGTGTGTGTGTTATGTACGTAGTATAACAAACTTTCAGGAACAAATATACAGCTGTAAATGTATACGATTTTGAAATCCTCTAATGACCGAAATTCAAAGCGACCGATTTATCGATAAAATCCGCTACTGTCTCCTCCACCTTCTCACGTACCACACACCGCGACACACCTCGCGACGCCCTCGAGAAGGTGGGGAAAGCACCCTTCACGCTCGTCCCCCTTTTACGCCACTCTAGTTCGTCGATGACGAAACGCACGTAAATTCGTGGCGACGCCGTCACCACCGCCACCGCCGCCGCCGTTGCCGCCGCCACCACCGCCGCCGCCGCCGCTGCCGCCGCCGCCGCCGTCGCCGTCGCCGTCGCCTCCACCACCGCCGGGTGAAATCAGTGCGATTGGAGTGCACCGCGAGGGAAGAACGCGGGTCTCCCCGTGTGCGGCCCGCCGTTCCCGCTTGCGGCACGCGCGCGCGCGCGTTGCTCGCCAGTTCATTCGTTCGTACATTCTTCTATCCGTACGAGCAATATAAGCGGCGCGACGTGAGTGGGGAAACAGACGAATAAATAGGTCGTTAAAATGCAATGCATCGAAATACATTCCAATTAATGTAAACGACCGCGCGAAACGCTCCGAAACGGAAGACGAAAGTGCATTTGTTCATTCATCGTAGCCAAACAGACGCAAACGTGCGAAATCGTTGTGATAGTAGCGTAGTTTAAATATATCCAAAAATAAATATGGTAAGCGAAGGAATCGTGCTCGGTGTCTTTGAAATTGATTAAAATTGTTTGGAAAACACGAGGAATGTGATTTGAGGTATTACAGAAAGAGAGAGAGAGAGAGAGAGAGAGAGAGAGAGAGAGAGAGAGAGAGAGAGAGAGAGAGAGAGAGAGAGAG